GCGGGGAAGCGATCATGGCAAAGCGACCCTTTTTGCACAGCCGATCGGCGGTTCCAAAATGGCCACCCACTGTTTTGCCTTGCTTTAGAGACACCAAAAGTGGCTGCCCCTATGGAGGATCTTCGCATAAGGTCAGTTTTTAAGCCCATATGAATGCATTAAACACATTTTAATGCATTTCTATGGGCTTTTTAAAATTGTTTAGCGATGAAATCGCTTAGCGACGTTTTTTCCTGCACAGATTAACGTCGCTAAGCGAGGCACCACTGTACTTTGCTTCCTTAATATAAAAGATTAAATAAACAGAAGTAAGAGACTGCATTCTTTGTTGGATGAACAACACCTTTTCTCCTAGGGTAACTAGTTTTAAGGGAGGATATTTTTTTAAAGAACCATGGCACAGACTGGAAATGGTTACCCCACCATCACCCTCTGCACAATCATCTCATTTTGAAAAAGACAGACATGCATTCACAAAGCAAGCATGTAGCATGTAGGTTAGAGACAGATCCTTTCATACAGGCACAGCAGCTTATGTTTACAATACAGAATGTATGCAGAAAACATAAAAACTCACTTTGCTATTGTTAGGTAGACTGCTTTTTAAATAAGACATCAATACTTTATTTTATTTTTATTTCTTCTGGTACTTTGGGAAAACAACTGGATTTCTTTCTTTCAGTAGGGCAACCTTCTATTTTAAAAAGAAATTCAGACACAAAATAAGCTACTAACAGCTTCTTAAACAAAAGACTATTGACCAATTAGAATTCCGATGCTATGCTCATTCATCTCAAATCTTGGCTCCATTTTAACCACCCTCTGTAACTGTCTGTGTGCTTAAACGGGTATTTGTTTCACACAAATATTGCGTAGACAAAGAGCAACTCTCCACTGTTGCAGTTTAGTCTGAGCAATACTCTTACAATCCCCAAAGCAGGCTGAGTCATACAGACGTATTCAGTTCTTGCATTAAATGCCTCATCCTAAAATGATACAAATAAATGTAACAAATGAGGAAACTATGAAAAACAAAACTTCATCTTGTGAATTTATAAAAATATCTGGTGCCCTCAAAGTTAATGTGATCCCAAAATGCTATTAAAACCACACCAAGAAAATCTGTAATATATGAAGAACAAGAAGAGAACATATATAGATTTTTAAAGCATAAATATTCTATTGCATTACCTTCAGGAGGTGGTGGTGGTGGGAATCCTTCTGCATCCATTCTATGGCGTATTCTTGTTACTGTGATGACTTCTTAAAGCACGATAAATAGCCCTATAATAAAGTGTATGTTAAAGTTAAAAACTTTTAGAATGCATAACTGTCTCTGTTTCATAATAAAATGGCTGCATGCTGGAGAGAGATAGAGAGATTTGAAGCTCGTGAACAACTGCAACAAATTAACAGCCAGAATCTTTTTAGTTTCACTTGCCAACATAACTCCCATCTGTGTACTGTACCTTTCAGGAGCAAATTGCAGCAAGAAGTCAGCACAAACATTTCCTATTGCCCAGTCACATAACTCAGTGCACAACAGGAAATGTTGACACTGAATTCTTAACACGAAGCAGTTTGCCACTGAAGTGCACCAAAGCAATTACGTCAGCATAAATATGCAGTAGGATTCCAGCCACCACCTTGGTCATCATAGCTCCCTCTCTTTCAGGCCTTAAAGTGCTTCTTGCAAAAGGAGTATGATTCAGTGACACAGCATAGGCTTTACATGCAGAAGGACTGTGGATGGGTCCCAGGCACCTCCAGTTAAGAGGACCAGGTGTCAGTAGATGCGAAGGACCTCTGCATGAGATTCTGCAGAACCGGCTACTGGTCAGAAATTAAATGAGCAACACTGATTCAGAAAGGCAAAGAGTCTTGTATAAAGATAGTTCCTATGAGGTTTCAGTTCCAACAACAAACCATGCCAAACGGAGATGTTCCCTCAAGGGGGACGTTAGGTGCTTTCTGTGCAACTAACTGAACTGCAATGAGATTTCAACTGTAAATGGAATGAGACCTATGAATTGCAGAGTTGCTCTGAGATTGCAGCAACCTAAGAAAGGGGCACTGGTCCTGAAACTCCAGCCAGAGGGCAAGGACGAACATCAGCAAGCTAGAACCAGCTTAACCCCAAATGGAAACTCATTTCTTAATAACTAACAAACATACCTGGCTTGTGCCAGGTTTAAAATCCATGAGTCCCCTGCCTATTCTGTGGTGTCCTCCTCTCTTGTTCCCAAATTCTTCGTTTCACACTAATTTTTCTTTCTTTCCACCCTGGTACTCAAATGTGTTTGCCAGAAGCCTACTCCTCCAAGCCCTGACCTCTCCTCTCTCAATATTATTTTTCATGTTGTTGTTTTTTCTCCCTTTAACCCATCCTCATTCAAGTACTCAAGAGGCTAGAAATATAAGTTCTTTGGACTACAGTATAATGATCAGGATATCCCAATCATCAATTTCTTGTCTCTCATTATAAATCTTTTGGTAAGAAAACCTTGAACACCTAGAATCCCCCAGGTAACTTCTTTTGACAGATAGATAAAACTTTATTATGGTCAAAAGACCAGCCACAAATAAAACATCCATACAGAAATATACAGAAATATAGGGATCAAATGCAAAGCAATAGTCGATTCTGAGGTAAACAACAACAGTGTCAAAGCATCTCCCCTGAAGCAATTCCAAAATGTTTAGCAAACCATGCTCTGACTATGGAAGTCCATCCAGTTTTAATATCCTTTTTCTAATGCCTATAGCAGCAGTAAAGAATTTGGCAACACAATGTATAAACATAGGATGGGAATCAGACAGCAGCAGATGCATACATTGTTGCTCTGCACAGTCAGGAAATCAGCCAATCAGAGGGGAAACAAGTTCTTCACGTATGTCCTTATAGTATGTACATCACAACAGAACTTGTTCAACTGTTTCTATCTGCTCCATTCCACATGGGCAAAGGCGCTCTGCCCAGGGGATCTTTTTATACCATCCCTCCTGCATTGCCGAAGGTAGTGTGTTAAACCGGGCCAGAGTGTAGGCATCCTTCAGTCTTGAGAGACTATGGTATCGTGCTCTGTATGGAGGTCTTGGAACAGTGTCTTGTGTGGCTGAGAAGGCCAATTCGAGAGTGACAATCCCTTCCACACTGGAGACAAATCCAATCTGTCCCCTGTGCAGCTCCCTGGTTTTGCTTGTTTCGGGACTGCCTCTTTGCCTCGGTCTGCTATACAAGTGTCTCTTTAAATTGGGAGAGGCCATGATGCACCGCCTGCCTCCAGGCTGAACGCTCAGACGTCAAGGTTTCCCATCTGTTGAGGTCTATTCCTAAGGCCTTCAGATCCCGCTTGCAGATGTCCTTGTAACGCAGCTGTGGTCTCCCTCGGGGGCGGCTTCCCTTCACTAATTCTCCATACAGGAGATCTTTTGGAATCCGACCATCAGCCATTCTCACAACGTGCCCAAGCCAACGTAGACGGCGCTGTTTCAATATTGTATACATGCTGAAAATTCCAGCTCGTTCTAGGACTACTCTATTTGGAACTTTGTCCTGCCAGGTGATACCACAAATGCGTCGGAGACAACGCATATGGAAGGTGTTCAGCTTCCTCTCCTGCCGTGCACAAAGGGTCCAGGACTCGCTGCAGTATAGAAGTGTGCTCAGGACACAGGCTCTATAGACCTGTATTTTGGTGTATGCCGTCAACTTCTTATTAAGCCATACTCTCTTTGTGAGTCTAGAGAACATGGTAGCTGCTTTCCCAATGCGTTTATTCACCTCGACAGAGTAAACACCCTTCTATGCCTGGGCTGCTCCAACTGGGCAAAATAAGGTGCTGCTGTGACCTTGTATAAGCTGTCCTCCCTAAGATAGAATTCTGGGGCCCTGCTTAAATCATTTCGTCTCTCAATGTCCTCAATGCGCTTCTCGGTGATTTTCTTTGCCTGTGCCATTCCCATGGTTAACAGAGTCAGCATAGAGAGGCCCAAAGAGGCTATTTTTTGTTCAACTAACTGAACCCATTTTGACTTAAAGGTGTCTTGCAGGATCAGTGGTGCAAGACCAATAGGGAGATAAGACACTCTGAGCCAGTCCATGAGAATCCACACCCTGGCTTTGATTTTAATTTGACCAGTTCCCAATCTTAGTTTTATGTTGGCGACGTCCCTGGGGACTCCTAATACTGCCCTCAGGAATTTGGATTGTACATGTTCTAGGGTTGCAATATTTGGGAAGGGGCCCAATTGGGAGCCATGCAGTAGTTGGGCTATCGCTTTTGCGTGGAACTTTTTAATGGCTGAGGGAATGTAATGCCCCTCCTTTGTTGTCATAAATTGTAGTACTGCAGCAGAACTTCTCTGGGCATTTAATGCCACATAATCACCATGTGCTTTCTTAGAGCCATCAGATTGGAAAACAACATCTAAATATTTAAATTGGTGGATCTGATCAGTTCTATGCTGAATTATCATCTATGTTCGTATTATTGGCCTTTTGGCAAAAGACATGATTTTTGTTTTTTGAAAATTAATTATCAGGTCCTCCTGCTCACAATTATATAGACAACCTTCGCAAAGCTTTCCTAAGCCCAATTGGGGTCCTAGACCTCTCCATGCCTGCCACATGTTGAGTTGTACTTCAGGTTCATTCCTGACACACCTGAGAGATTACAGGAATTAAGACAAAATTGTGGAGGTGTGAGAAACACGACAACTTAATCTGGATAATGTACCAACACACCAAGCATGTTGTTTCTTTTCCCTGAAACCAAGCTATTTCTGCAGGCGAGCATCCACCTTTTACCTTGAACAAATGTTAAATCTTATTTTACCAAATCTCCCATCTCCGTCTTTTGTTTACTAACAGGAATGCATATTTAAAAACATTCTAGTCAATGATGTTTAAACATAGAATCAAAGTCCAGTTTAAAATACAACTATATTCCCTTCCTCTCTTTTTAATAAAGATCCACAAGTCAAAGCACAATTAATAATAAGTGCATGGTGTCAGGTTGATTACAATTTACAGTGACCCTCCTCAGAGGATTCACAAGTAGCTTGCCCTTCCCTTCTTCTGGGGGTGTTTGCCCAAGGGGCACACAGGCTGCCCTTTCTCCCAGGAGGCACAGCGGAGAACTGAATTTCCAGTCCCTGCATTCCAACTCACTGAGCTATTCAGCTGCCGCCGCCACCTTAAAACTTATAGCCTGATTATTCTGTATTTCCATACTTTCTCACAGAGGGCTACTTTTAGAACTGTAACTCACTGCCTAACAGTTTACAATTACTGCATAACTATTGGGCACATCTCCAATAATCCTTTCAAAGTTCCTTATGGGGAAAAGACCAAAGCATGCAAGATCTCATCAATCCAATGTTAACAACACTATCCATTAGAAAAAGCTGTTATTGACTTCAGGACACTGTTGGGTTAAGAATCACGCACATGAGTGCTGTGCAAGAAATAAACAGGCCTTTCCTCTCAAAAGCAACCATGCTGTATGATACAGCATTAGAACAGACCATGCCACACAATGATTTAAAAAGAAGTGCCACTTTCATGTAAGAAAAGGCATAGGTACTACATCCACAAAGTCTTATCTGAAAAAGATACAGAAAAGTTTGTTCATATGTGAGGAAACTGCAAAGTATGGCAGCATCCTGCTATGTCCTTTTGGCTTTAATCCAGTTGCATAATTAGTTCATACTTGTCCTTCACTCTTCTCCAGTAGCTGATTTAGTGCTTTCTAACCCTGAAGTCTTATCTTCCAGCAGTATCTCTTGTTAAATTTTGGACAGTCTCATCATAGGGTTTTCAAGGTAAGAAAAGTTCAGCAGTGGCTTACCACTCTCACATTCCACACAGGACTAACAAGTTAGCTTGAGCGGCACTGCTGTTCTCTCCTCCACCAGTGTCACCTCCAGCTAAGGCTGCTGCCCTGTAGCTGCCACCCCCATCACCACTGGGACTATCAATTATCTTCTGCTGATGTGGCTGCTACCCTCAAATAGAGATGATGCAACTTAGTCTGGTGTCCCAGCTGTGATCATTCCACCTTGGCCAACACTGCTAGGATTGATAATGGAGTCTAGCTTCTTGATGGCATTGTTCTTGGCTTCACTGGCACACTCAAACTCCTTCACCACATTATGGTGTGCATTCAAGAAGGGGGTCAATTTTATTTAGGTCTCTTTTATTCTTGGCTTTCCATACTGTGATTTTTGAGTGGCAAATTCTGTGGCATATAATTTTTCCTTAGTAAATTAACTCTATAATG